GTCTCCCCCCAGTATTTTCCGGCCCGGAGGCTGCCTGCGTTTGAAGCTTATTCTTTTTCAAAGCTCCTACCGGAAAAAGAGAGCTCGACCAAATTCGGGGTGTGTTAATCGAGAGGGTCTTTTGCTAGCATTGCCCATCCTTCTCCCCATTGCGGTGCGCAGACCAGTTTGGGGGTTCAGAGGGTTAACCCGAGGCAGCCTCAACCAGGGGTGTCAAACTCATGTGTCATGAAGGCCCGGAGGATCTGACATAAATGTCACTTTGTCGGGTGGGGTCATGTGCAATGTTCCCTCTAAGCTGTGGCGTCTTGTGAGCAAGAATTCTACTTTGTGAGCCACTGGCAATAAAGTTGTGAGGGAGTGATTGGACTACTGCGTAAGTTAGTCTGCTCTGGAGCCCATCCTTCCTGCGCTAAGGCAAAAATGTGTGAGGCGGAGGCTAAAAAACTGTGAGCTAGCTCACACTAACTCAGCTTAGAGGGAACACTGGTCATATGTGTGCCATAAAATGTAATGCCAGATACCACAGATATTGACTGGTAAGCTCCGAGTCGGTGTAGGCTCCCTGCAAGGCCTCATGGCAGGGTTGCCAGCCTCCAGGTGGGACCTGGGGATCTCCTGCTTTTACTGCTGAACTCCAGCTGACAGAGATCAGCTCCCCTGGAGAAAATGGCTCTATGGCATTGTGCCATGCTGAGGTCCCTACCCTCCTTAATCCCCGCCTTCTCCTGGATCCACCTCCAAAGTCTCCAGGTATTTTTCAACCCAGGGCTGGCAACCCTAAGAAGGGGCAACCAAAATCATACCTTCTAAGGCATCTTCTGAGGCATGCTAAGTCTTCTAAGGGCATCTGCCTGGCATTAAGAACATAAGATCATTTTTCTATGCAAGACCAAAGGTCTCTTTAGTCCAGCATAGTGCGCCAGTTCACGCTCATAAATGAAACCAGGAAACAGGACCTGGAAGTTCACATCTCCCACTCTGCCCATCTCCTCTTGCATGCAGCCTTCCTACTAATTTCACAATTATGTTTCATCACTTTCATTTTAGTCTGGACAGGTTCCTAAAAAAAGTCCAATAGCACCTTAAAGAGGAATAACATTTATTTTAATACTAGAAGTAAGGCTCGTTGTGGGAAGAAATACAACGAGCTCTAGAAGGAAGCTGTGTGAACTGGGAGTGCATTGAAAGTGGACTGTTTCGTGTGTGTGACCGCAGCCCATGTCTTGCAGGTGACCCTGGGCGACTCACAGATTCTCCGCGTAGCCGACTTAGGGGTCTTGTAAGGACCAAATGGAGGAAAGGAGCACAAAGTAAGCGGCACAGAGGGGGCAGGTGGGACGTATCTCCTCTTTTAGAAAACAAAGGGGGCTCAGGAGCCTCTCTGGGCTCTCGCAGCTAGTGTGGCGGAGCAGTCAGAGAGATTCGGGTGGGTCACCCTTTTGGTCTGGAGCAACAGAACAGTGTCTGAGTCAGTGTTCCCTCTAAGCTGAGTTAGTGTGAGCTAGCTCACAGATTTTTAGTCTCCGGCTCACACATTTTTGTCTTCGCTCAGGGAGGATGGCTTCAGAGTAATTTATACAGCAGCCAAATCGCTCGCAACTTGAATGCCAGCAGCTCACAAAGTAGAATTGTTGCTCACAAGACTCCACAATTTAGAGGGAGCATTGGTCTGAGTCCAGTGGCACCTTTAAGACCAGCTATATTTAATTCTGGGTATTATCTTTCGTGTGCATATCCACCCGAAAGCTTATACCCGCAGTTAAACTTGTGGGTCTTAAAGGTGCCACTGGACTCAGACCCTGACTAAGATAATAGTGTAACAAGATGCTCACTTCCACACCCGGTTAGAGAACCTGGACCAACAGTTCTAAAAGGACTTTGCCTATTCAGAAATGTTGACTGGCAGAATTCTCCAGGATTTATCTATTAAAGGCTGTCTATCCACCTTTAAATCTGATTGTACAAACAACTAAGGGGTGAGTTCGGCTCTTTGGATTATAACCAGCAAACCAGACTGAAAACCTTCAGAGACTTTTATTGAGAAAAGAAATCATCTTTATTATGCAAGACAGCAAGAAGTACACAGTTACTGTGAAAAGAAGTGCTAAAATTATCACAGTTTCTAATACTGCTTAATCGTATTATAGTGAGTAATATCTTTAAAAGCAAACCAGGTTTCAGGTTTTCTTGTCTCACCGCCTTTAGGGATTATCATATATGTCTTAATGATGCACAGACAGAAATCTCACCTAATCTTCTTCTGAGACTTCCATACAGAGAAATCATATCTGCTTATCACGATACTGTGTTTTTATAGAAAAATATCAGTCTTGACCTCCCCTAGACTTCTATCGTAATCCTATGGTTACTATCTAGATATGTGATTGGTTCTGAACTTAGCATGAGATCAACAAAGCAAGTGCAAATGAGCCAGTCAGCAGGTGCATTATGAATTACATCTGATCAAGCAAGGTAAGAAGGCCAATCTCAACTCTTAACCTCTACTGAAAAGCAATTCATCTAATTTTTCTTTAACTGTTTCAGTTAACTCTCAAAGAGAGCTGGCATGAAACCCTGGACTTTGGGACTGTCACTTTTACATTTCGTGCCACAAAGGGGAATTTTCTGGGTGGTGCAGACGGTTGGCGGGGTCTGAAAAAACACCACATTTCAGAGAGCCCTTCCTATCCTCACCTGGGGGTGTGACTTTTAGCTCCCCGATCCTTCAGATACCTCCTGGCTTTCCCCTGACTCTGCTGGACCTCTTCCGGGCCTGTTTTTCAGCTGTCTGTTTCTGTCCAAATCCCGTGCCTGACGCAACCGGGTAGTTAAACCTGGACTAGTATTTCGGGAACTAGAAGCCGGCCGCTTCAGGGGGATATAGGTCTGACATGAGGGGCCACCCAGAGATGGAGCGCACTCCAGCGTATAACTGAACTCAATGTGTCCATAATCTAGGTATCCTATGCGTTCATCAGTACCCCCTGCCTTCATTTCATCCTGAAACCTCTTCAACAGGTCATCCTCATGGGGGTCACTGTCCCACACCTCCAGCTTATAGGTGTTGCGGTCTGCAAGTGTAACGGTCCCAAAGTCCAGGGTTTCATGCCACTGGGGGCTGTTATCACCATCAATGATCTCCGTCCGCATTGCCCGGCCTTGGAAGAGCACTCTGACGTAGCCGTCGGTGCCACTGAAGTCGTCCCCATAAAGGTTGGCGGCTCTTCGTATGTAGAATCTGAGGCGGGCCTTACCCCGCTCCCGGGCACAGCACATGTTGTCGTGCAGGTCGTTGGCGTGGCACATACATGCGCAGTGGTCTTCCCGACTCCGAAAGCCATTGTACGGGCACTGTCCGTCACAGCTCCTTCTCAGGGCCCTTTCGGTTATATAGTCGCTGATGGCTTGCTTCAGTGCTTTCCTCCTTGGGTCGCTTCTTTTTAGCAAAGTGTGTAGCGATGTCAGAGAATAAGATACCACCTCGGGGTGCCTTTTTGCACTCCTCATCCATTCTGAAAAGTTCTGGGCCTCCGGCAAGAACACCTTCTCGGGTTCATCTCCTCCCATCACTTCCATGTGCCACTTAACAAAAGGGTCTCCCGAATCTCCCTTCGTGGCACCTTTCCAGAGCTGGTGGCACTTGGAACTGTAGAGGGCCTCCGAAGTCAAACAGTTCTCAAGGTCAAAAACAGTCAGGCCACCCAAGGCTGCCGCACAGTTCTGCACGAAATACAGGTGACGCCTTTGCGCACCCAGCTCCACTTGGCTGACATAGTGGGTGCCGTAGATGTTGATAAAGCCCTGGTATTCCTTCTGGTGGTACTCCTTGGGCAGGTTGCTGACATCATGGGAGAAGTGAGAGGCCAGCAGCGGGCGTCTGGGTGGGAGTCCTAGCCTGCTCAGGAAGAGGAGCGGAAGATTAGAAACAGACTGGTGTGCCTCAGACACCGCTTGAGGGTACGTCTTCCTGACAAGGGCTGTGCTAAATGGTATTCCGGGAAGCCCGCAAAAATAGTTTTACAAAAATAACTGTGTGCCATTAAGTCGCAGCTGACTCATGGTGACCCGGGGACCATGGGGTCTTCAAGGCAAGAGAGCAGCGTTCCCTCTAAGCTGAGTTAGTGTGAGCTCGCTCACCGTTTTTTAGCCTCTAGCTCACAGATTTTTGTCTTCGCTCAGGAAGGAGGGCTCCAGAGCAAACTAATTTATGCAGTAGCCAAATTGCTCGCCCACAACTTTAATGCCGGTAGCTCGTAAAGTGGAATTTTTGCTCACAAGACTCCACGGCTTAGAGGGAACATTGCTTCAGAGGTAGTTTGCCATGGCCTGCCTCTTCATGGTGACCCTGGACTTCCCCGGTGGTCTCCTATCCTAGTACTAACTGTGGCCAGCCCTGCTTAGCTCTGTGCTCTGATGAGATCAGGCTAGTCAGTCTGCTTTTAAAAATATCTTTTCACAAGCACTTTCTTCTGTCAGTGTTTACACCCCAATTAAGTCTGAACTTATCAGAGGGGCTTGGCTTCGGGCCCTGCATTCACCCTCAGCTTTCTGCTTTGGAAAATAAGGAATTATAATAAGAGGGTATCTTGGAGTGTGTGAAGCGTGTATTTTCTCCATCACAGTCATCCTTCACGCATTAGGTGGAGGGAGCACAAAACCTGGGCTGTTAAAGGCAGGCCAGGCCATGGGGAGGAGTGTGGGTGGGGGGCTCAATCCGAAAACCTTTTGAGAGGGCATACCACAAAGCTGGTGGGAGGGGGCCATGGCCCAGCGGTAGAGCATCTACTTGGCATGCAGAAGGTGTCAGGTTCCGTCTCCAGGTAAAAGAGGCAGTAAAAGGTAAAGGTGAAGGTTCCCTTGCTCGAAAGCCAGTCGAATCCGACTCTAGGGTTGCGGTGCTCATCTCCGTTTCCAAGCCGAAGAGCCAGCGCTGTCCGAAGACATTTCCGTGGTCATGTGGCTGGCATGACTAAACACACCAAGGTGCACGGAACGCTGTTTCCTTCCCACCTAAGTGGTACCTATTTATCTACTTGCAATGTCTTGCTTTCGAACGGCCAGGTTGGCAGGAGCTGGAACTAGAGACGGGAGCTCACTCCATCATGCGGCACACTCGGGTCTCTCTTTTTTTAAGAAAACCCCCAATTTTATTAGGATATAATAATAAGTAAAATTTTACGTCATATAACAAACTTTTCATATCCTTTTATCCAAATATCTCCCCCCCTTCTGACTTCCCACAGTGCTCAAACCCCTATTACATTCTTGAATTTTTTTCTTTCCTTTTCCAATTCTTTAACAACATAACTCTTTCGGGGAACATAACTTTTTATCTGTCTATCTATACATGTTTAAATTCAATCTAAATGTCTATCCAACCTTAGTAATTGTGAAAGCAAAATAAATTGTTTTTTACATCCCAGTATTTCTCCATCGGCACCCTCGGGTCTCGAACTGCTGAACTACCGGCCTTCCACAGCCCACAGTTCAGCGTCTTAACCACTTGAGCCACCGCAGCTCCTAAAAGAGGCAGTAGGTGATACCAAAGAAGAATCAGTAGAGTGTTGGGAGTCTGGTAGAATGGACATGATGTTGCTTTGGCACTGCAGGACTCCTTTTGGCAAATGTCGCCCTCGTCGTCCCACTACATAGGTGGTAGGGTTGCCAGCCTCCAGGTGTGGCCTGGAGACCTCCACAAATCACAACTGATCTCCAGACGACAGAGATCAGTTCCCCTTGCAGAAAATGGCTGCTCTGGAGGGCACGTTCTGTGGCATTGTACCCGGCTGAGGTGCTTCCCTTCCCCAAACCCTGCTGTCTCCAGGCTCCACCCCCGACCCCCAAATCACCAGGAACTTCCACCCTCCCAAATTGGCATCCCTAACAGGTAAGATGAAATACTGCTGAAGAAGACAGGGGGCCTTGCTAGTGCTTGAAAGTCCTAGTTTTTCAAGGCAGGTTCTGCTTGTCTCTGAAGTGCTTACACCGCAGTGCGCTGGCTCTCAACGGAACGGCCCCCTCCATGGCCAGACTCAGGGGTCATTTCCTGCAGGAGCGCACAGGAGCGGAGCTCCGGCAGTAAAGAGCCCAGGGGGCGGGCACATGCAACAAGCCCCACCCCCTGCTCCCAGCAGCCCTCAGTCAGACCAAGAAGCAGCCAAGTACGTTGCAGAGCCCCCCCCGACCCCCGGTCCAAAACAGTCCATTGGCACCTTTAAGACCAAGTTCTATTCAGGTACAAGCTCTCCTCTGTGAGGACAGATCTGCATGCCCCCCCCCCAAATAGCTAGCAAGCCAAAACAGCCCAGTGGAGCCTGAGCGGTGGGTGTTGCCTTCTGACACACTTCCAGTGATGTCAGGGGGTGTGGCATACGCAAATGAGTTATGCTAATGAGCTCCTGCACCTCTTTTTCTACGGAATGAGCCCTGGCCAGACTGCTTAGCCTGCAGGTGCCGCAGCAGAGCTAATACTCACCGATAATATGTGCAGAACGTCTCATGCTTTATAAAGCTGTAACTGTCCCTCCGGGAGTACTCCTGAGCGCGAAGGGTTATCGGGGACCGAGACCCACCGAATGCCGCCTGGATTGCTGGCAACTCCAAGTCCGCCTTCCAGTCGTCCGTCACTTCCGTGGTCATGGCGTTTGCCACACCCAACACTGAGTGCTCCACAGAAGTGGCCACTCGCTGGTCACACTTGCTATGCACCCGCCAGCCGACAGCTGCCAAGGGGAGCCTCTGCATCTCCCGGTCCATCAGCGGATTCCGGCACAGGTTGCAGGTCCCGTTGGGTCCCCGCCACTGGCTGGTGTCCACCACGGAGGCCCCTTTCCTTCTCAGCGTGGTAATATCGAGTCCCTCGCCGATCAGGTTGTGCCCCGGCACGAAGCTTGTGGATTTCTGGCAGTCGTCATTGGGGAATACTTGGCAGTGGCTAGAGGTTGCCACTTTGAGGAGGGAGAGGAATCCTAAGGAGGCAGCTAGGAAGAAGAAGCGCAGCCCGGACATGGCGGCCCAGAGGGGGTCCTGCGTCCTGGAGGGCCGCTGGGCTTCTTAATCACCCTGGGGAGACAAGCAGAGAAGGTTCGCAAACCAAACCAGTTCAGAAAATTTGGGATGCAGAGGCAGCCCCCCCCCCCCAGTGTTAGAGGCTCCAAGATCACTGGGCTTCTCCAGCAGGCTCTCTTCTACCTGCCCTCCAAGTTTGGTGACAATTGGATTTGAGGGGTCCAAGTTAGGGACCCCTCAACAAGGTGCCCCAGGAGAGTGCTGTTCAGGGAGATGTTGAGCACGGGTTCTGGAGTGTATAGAACGGACCCTGTGCGAGATAGAGGCATCGAACTCATGGCCTACTCCCCAGGTTGCTCCCCCACATGCCGTACAAGATACGTGTGGATTAGACTTGGGGAGTCCAAGTTATGGACCTCCAAACAAGGTACCCCCAGGAAAGTGCTTTTTGAGGAGGTGTTGGGTGTGGGTTCAGGAGTGTGTAGAACAGGCCCTGTGTGAGCTAGAGGCATCAAATTCATGGCACACCTCCCTGGGATGCCCTCCCTACACCCTACAAGTTACGTGCAGATCGAACTTGTGGGGGGGGGGTCCGAGTTACAGCCCACCAAAGACCGCACTCCCAGGAAAATGCTTTCTGGTGAAACGTTGTCAAGTTTGGATTTGGGGCCATGACACGGGCAGGACGGGCCCTATGTGACCTAGCAGAGGGGGAGGGGCATCAAACTTGGAGGGTGGACTCTATGGCAACATACCCCACTGAGGACCCTGCCTTTCCCAGGACCCATGCCCAAATCCCCGGTAATTTCTCAACCTAGAACTGGCAACCCTGGGCTTTGGGAATGGAATCCCACCGTGGCACAACAGTCAGGGCAGAAAAGGAAATAGCAGGGTCAAAAGATCCCACAAGAGGCGAGGAAGGACAGAGTCTGAGAAGCCAGTTTTGGAGACCTTTAGTGGCAACTGGAGTAGATGGAGCCCCATTGAAGGAACCAGTTGACCAAGTGGCCTACCTAAATGGAAACATTCCTCCAGATGGTATGGCTTCCAGGCTATCTCATGGGCCCCTAACCCCTTCTGTAAGCTTTGGCAGCCCCTCTAGGGGTGCCAGCCTCCAGGTGGGACCAGGGGATCCCCCAGAATTGCAGCTCATCTTCAAACTAGAGAGATTAATGCCCCTAGAGAAAATGGAGACTTTGGACTCTATGGCACTGCGCCCCACTGAGGTCCCTGCCCTCCCCAGTCTACATCCCCAAATCGCCAGGAGTTTCCCAGCCTGGATCTGGCAACCCACCTCCTCCTCCTCCCCTGCTGTGGGCCAGGGGGAACATAGCAACCCTACTCTAGACCAAGGTCTCCTCCATTCCCCTGTACATACCTGAGGACTGTGTAGGGTTGTTCAGCCGAAAGTCCGTGAGGCTGGGGAAGCTAAACCGAAAGTCAAATGTCTTCTTCTCTCCACCTTTATATATCCCATTTTTGAACGTATGAATCACAGAGCATCTGAGAAGATGAGCAGAAGTGAAAGTAATCTCCCCCCCCCTTTTATTGAAATAATATGTTTCTTGAAAAGGGAAGGAAAGATCAGATAGATAAAAGCCTCTAAAGTTGGCAATTGATGCCATGAAAAAATCCAGGATGTGGTTTAGAGATCACCTCAGGGCCTCTCAACCAACCATACATGCGTTGGGACTTCCCTGTTGAAACTCAATTCCCACATTGGGGGGGGGGGGCTGGCTCAGGACCCTGGTATGGGGGGAGACGGGTGGGATTCCCCTTCCTGGTCCTGGATTTAGAGGCTAGAGCCTGGGAAGGGTGGGATTTGGGGAGGGGGAAGATCTCAGTGGGGTTGAAAGCCATGGAGTCCACCTTCCAAAGAAGTCATTTTTCCTCTGGGGGAGCTGATCTCCTTTGTCTGATGATCAGTGGTGGTGATTCTCGGAGATCTTTGAAGATTCTTGAGCTTTTGCTAAAAGTAATTGAGCAGCGGTTGTGGGGGCATCGGTAGGGTACTCAGAAGAAAGAAACATCACTTGAGTCACAACAGTTGAGGGGAAGTGGTGACCTGTCACAGGATGGAGGCTTTCCCGTCCTTTTGGTGCCAAGCTGCAGCAGTTTTTCTCTTCACGCTTATTCCCAGAATTGCTTTATATTGGCTGCGGTCACACGGAGCATTAGCCACGCTACAGAGACGGAAGATAGGCGGATTTTCCGGGCGCGATCACACCGCCACATCTGGGAAGCGTAGAGCTCCCGTGGCTCACCCGAGGCTTCCCGCCGAAGATCCGGGGCAAAAAACCAGTACCTCCGTGGTACTAGTTTCCGGAAACCGCGGGGCAACGGCGGGCGTCTGATCGCGTTTCTGGTGGCATCCGGCGCCCGCCCATGTCCCCTCGCAAACAGGTCATTTTTCCCCCCAAGGCTCCACGGATGCGCACAAGCACCCAACGGAGCATGCGCACACTTCAGTTAAAAAAAGTTAAAAATAAAAAAAACCGTTTGACTCGCCGCCCCGCTTCTTTGCCTGTGGTGTGATCGGCACCTCCCCCCTAGCCACGGGACCTCGATGGGACCTCAACCGGACGTCTGATCGCACAGTCGCACGCTAGTTTCCCCCGGGACAAACAGCCCCGCTTCCCCCCCCCCGCATTTTCCAGCCCGTGTGACCGGGGCCATTCATTGTTTTTCTGTATTGACTCATCATTTCTCTGGGCTTTCTCAGTCAACTCACTACGATGCAGCCCCAGCTAAAAAACCCTCCCTCCATTTCCCCATGTCTGTTTTTGCCTTTTAAAAACAAAGTGGGAGACTCTGCTAGTAGATTGTATGCATCCTGCGACATGGTTCCCATCTCTGAATAGGGGGATTCCTGGAGATTTTGAGGGGTGGACCATGGGGAGGGTGGGATGGGCTATGTAGAGGGAAGGGATCTCAGGAGGCTGCCGTGTCCTACAGTCCACCCTCCAAAGCAAGGCAGTTTCTCTGGGGGAACAGATCTGAAGCATACAGAGATCAGTTGTAATTCTGGGAGATCTCCAGTTCACACCGTGACTTTGGCAGGGCTAACTGTAGCTTGGCCCTAATAGATGTACAGAACGTCATCTTTATTGTGCTTGCTTCTTTTCTCTTTCAGGCAGAGGGCTTGTCCACCCACAAGGAAAGACCGGCTAGGCGGAGTGTGAAGGTCCGCGGCATGGTGGCGGGCAGCTGTGCGTACTTCTTCGCTTGCATTCAGGCTCCACGGCGTTCACACAAGCCGGCAGCCACACTCGTGACTTGCGCCCTCCCCCCAGTCCGGGTCCTCCATTCTGGGCACGGCCCGCCCAACAAGCACCACCGGCGGAGGAGAGGGAAAGCGAGGGCAGCAAGAGAGGCCTTACTCCCGGCTCCGGCCGACCTAGGCAGCACGGTGCGGTTGCTAGGAGACCCACCTGAGGAAGAGAAGGAGAAGGCCAAGCCCAGGGGCCTGGCCTCTACTAAGGTAGCCAACCCCGGCTCAGGAAATTCATGGAGATTTGCGGGTGAAGCCTCGGGAGGATGGGGGTTGAGGAAGGGAGAGGGGCCTCCGTAGGGATACCAGCCTACAGGAGTAATTTACAGTTCCTCTCCAGACCGCAGACACCACCTCGTGGTGAGACGCTCCCAGATAAATTTTGTCACGCATGTATTTGAGGGCCGAGACAGATAATTTCCCATGTGTACCTTTCCTTGCACTTACAAGTCAAAAAGCTGCCCATGAAACTGTCTCTCAGCCTCCTTCACCTCACGTAGGGTTCCCTACGGTTGGAGATCTCCTGGAATTACAACTGGTCTCCAGATAAGAACATAAGAGAGGCCATGTTGGATCAGGCCAAGCAGCCCATCCAGTTCAACACTCTGTGTCACACAGTGGCCAAAACCCAGGTGCCATCAGGAAGTCCACCAGCGGGGCCAGAACTCCAGAAGCCCTCCTACTGTTGTCCCCCAAGCACCAAGAAGACTGAGCATCACTGCCCCAGACAGTGTGTTCCCTCTATCCCTTGTGTCTAACAGCCACTGATGGGCCTTTGTTCTGGAAGTTTATTCAGTCCCCTCTTGAAACTGTCT